AAGAAAGAAAGAAAGAAAGAAAGAAAGAAAGAAAGAAAGAAAGAAAGAAAGAAAGAAAGAAAGAAAGAAAGAAAGGAGAAAGATTAATCTGTTCACTTCTAGCTGCTTTTGCTTTTAAGAGTTTTTCTTTTTTTCTTTTAAATTAGAAATCTGAAAGAACAGAATTGTTGGCCTGATTTCAATCAACATTCCAGCCATGTCAAACTGAACTCACTCATGACTATTTAATTTACTTAATCTCCTGGAGTTTTTTCTTTCTTTTATGTTTTTGGAAAACAAATGGCTTTTCCCTAACTGTGTGCTGTTAATCAACTTCCAAACCTCCACAGGATTGTGTTGGTACACGTCGAACATATCATAGATCTTAATTTGCACAGGGAAAAAAGGAAGTTGGACAGCCTAAGGGTTAATTCCCACTTTTGCTCCTCCTAGTTCCTCAGCTGCAGTACAACTGGCTACAACCCAATACAAGTTGGAAACAAAGGGAAATTACCAACCAATCTTAGAGCCAGATTCTGTTGTAGGAGATAATCACTTAACTAAACTGTCAGATGCCAGTCCAGCCATCCACCAAGAACACAAGGGAAGGATCTGTCTAGCTATTATGAAAACAGTGACAAGAACTCTCATGGAGTGCTTACTTTTTAACGAATTCTCATTAACATCCCAATTACAGGTGGCAATCACTCATATAAGCTGTCAGATGCCAACGCAGCAAAGGCAGGCACCAGAGGTTATAAAAATGGTGGAAACACCTCCAGAGAAGGGCTTATTTTTGAATGAACGTTCCTTAACACAACAAGCACACTTTTTCAAGAGCAAGAGTTTGTAGATCTTTTAATTTCAGTTCCCGAACCAGCAAAGAGTGGCAAAAATTCAGCTCAGAACGTATCAAATAACAAGAAAAAAAAAAAAAGATATCCCAGATCATGCTCAAAATATACTTAGCATTGAAGATAACCTACCTCTAGGTCTTAAGGATGTAGTGTCACGAGACACTTGCGCCTCCAAGCTATTCTCTATAGGCACCATCAGCATCTCAAGGAATATCCCCTATGCTTTGCCATTATTCACAACAAATTGATTGGCATGTCCCCTTATAGCAATAGCAATAGCAGTTAGACTTATATACCGCTTCATAGGGCTTTCAGCCCTCTCTAGCGGTTTACAGAGTCAGCATATCGCCCCCACAATCTGGGTCCTCATTTTACCCACCTCGGAAGGATGGAAGGCTGAGTCAACCTTG